AACCACAAGAATGGGGTCCTAATTAGAATATGTTATATTCTATGTATGTATAATAGGTCAAAACACACTCTACTGTCACATATATCTAAAAAGAGTAAAAAAAAAAAAAAAGCAGCAATAACAGGCAGGTTTGCTGTTTTCATTCTTAAAGGGAAAGGACTCAGTCTTTTACTTTTAAATATAATGCTAGTTGTAGATTTTATGTAGTTCTCTTTATCAAGTTGTAGAAATTCCTGTCTATTGATAGTTTTCTGAAAGTTTTTAATGTGTGTGTGTGTGTGTGTGTGTGTGTGTGTGTGTGTATGGGGGGGGTATTAGAGATTTTAACCAGGTATTCTTTACCACTGAATTATACCTCTAGTTCCAATACTTTTAATTTTTTAAGTTTTGAAACAGGATCTTGCTAAGTTACTGCAACTGGCCTTGAAATTGTGATCCTCTTGCTTTAGCCTTCTGAGTCACTGGTATTATAGGTGTGCCACCCTGCTTGGCCACAGTAGATATTTTCGAATGATTTTTAAAAATCAGTTGATGTTAGTTTTGCATTTCTACAACACAATACCTAGGGCGAGCTATTTATGAAGAAAAGAGGTTTATTTACCTCAAAGTACTGGAGGTTCATAGTCCAAGATCAGGTGGCTCCAATGGTTAAGCCTATTTAACAGCAGATAGTATCACATAGCCATGGAATTACATGTGGGAGGGAGCATCACATCCCAACCAGAGAGATTGGTGTTTGGCTTGTTCCTTTATTGAGAACTATTTTACTCTCTAAGACCATGCTCCCAATGACCAAAATAACCCCCAGTAGGCCTCCCCTTCTTAAAGTTTCCACCACTTTCCAATATTGCCCCTGGGGACCAGGCCTTTAACACATGAGCCTCTGGGATCAGAACCAGATCCACACTATAGCAATATAATGATGTTATTTTTTATTTTGGGGCCTATTAATGTAGTAGTATTAATGTAGTAGACCATTAATGTAATGGTTGAGTTTCAGATATTAGATCAGCTTTGCTTCCCTGGAAATAGACCCTACTTGGCCATGGTATATAATCCTTTTTATATATTGCTGAATTCTATTTACTAATATTTTGTTAAGGATTTTTACATCTATATACATGAGAGATATTGGCATGTAGTTTTCTTTTTTGTATTATCTTTGCCTAGTTTTCGTATCAATGTATTACTGGCTTCATAAAATGAATTAAGAATGCTTCTTTCTTTCTTCTGGAAAAGATTGGGTAGAATTGGTGTTGATTTTTCTTTAAATGTTTGTGAGTATCTCTAGTGAAACTATGTGGTCATGGAAATTTGCTTTCTGGATTTTAATAATTACAAATTGTACATTCTTTGAAGTTTTATATTGGATGAGTTTTGTGTTTTGTGCTTTTTGAGGAGTTGGTCCATTTCATCTAAGTTATCAAATTTATGTTTATAAAGTTTGCAGGATTATCTTATTACCTTTTTGATGTCTGCAGGGTCTTTTGTGATATTTTCTGTTTCACTCTAGATTGTATGAATTTCCTAAGAGTGTCAGATTCAATATCTGTGTATTTTTTAATTATATAAGTTATGTATTAAGATATTTTTGTTTTAAAATTCTGACAATTCAGAGCATAAAATACAAAAGTAAAACCCTCTTGCATTGCCTTCCCCACTTGTCCCTTAGAACATAAAACTGGTCTGCTTCTGAGGATAGGCATTGATTTCACTACTAACCATGAGTCTAGGCCCCTTCTCCAACTCAAGGTGTCTCTCTGTGTTACCTAGGCTTGTGCCTAGAGACAGGTTTAGAGTGGGCTCATTTGGTGTAGTTTCAGATGCAAGTGTCCAAGCAGCTCCTGGAGAATATGTAATCTGTCAACAAAAAATAGCATGCCATTTTAAAATAATTCTACTTAATTTATAAAAGTGTTCTTCTGATGTTCGGTGTGGATTCCACCCAGATTTATTTGGAAATCTTGCAATACCATGATTTCAAGGCTAGGATGAGGGAATGGTCACTACTTATAGGAGCTAAGAGGTCTTGTGTTGATGTCTGCTCAGTTGCCATGGCTCCTATAGGTTTGGTGACTCCTGTGCAGGAGAGGGATAGTTTGCCATTCGGTTTGTGTGAACAATGCAGCAATCTCCTCTTGGAATTTTTGCCATCTCTCTCTCTCTCTCTCTCTCTCTCTCTCCACACTTCAGGGCCCCTCTCCTCCACGGGCCATAGAGCTCTTCATTTCTGATTTAATCAGTATGTTGACAGTTCTAGTAGAGTCAGAAAGAAGTGAATGCATAATCCCCCCAAATCCTACTTCTGTTATATTTTGCCTCTTTTCTATGAAGTTTAAGATTTTAGAAATAAAAGTCAAATTTTATCAGCAAATTATTGTTGCTTTCAGCCCTGCTGTACTCCAGCTCTGAGCGATGAACACAGAGCCTGCTACCTGCTACCTGCTTGAGGGCAGAAAGGAAAGGGTGAAATAAAAGGAGAAAAAGAAAAAAAAATGAAACAGAAACATGTTAACATCTAAAAATATTCTGCCACATTTGAAAGATGAGAGAGTTGAATTCATTAGAGAGGTTCCATTGGGAAAAGGAATTGTTCTTTTAATCGGGGTTTCTGCAGTTGAAGAGGCTGTGTGTTGGGCTGAGGGCCACAGAATGCTCTGATGTCATCACTGAGGTAAGAGAATCCTCCTGTGGGCCTGGTGACCTTTGAACCTTAACAGCCCTGCAGTATAGTGAGCACTGGGCAGGGCTGCTGGTTCGATCAGTGGTTTGAGTTCTCCAGTCATAGAGAAGACTTGACGATTTTTATTTGTATTGAATAATTTCAACGGATTTCCTGAGAGTCAAGAAGGGCCAATCTGTAGGGAAAAGGGGGAACTGGACACTAAGAATCCTCTAAGGGATTCTCCTAGCTGATATTATGAAACGGCGACAAAAGAGGAAACATTTGGAAAAGGAAGAGTCCCAGGAAACTGATGAGAAGGGAAGAGGTACGTGCTGGGAAGCTTCTCTGGGGTACAGGGGAGGCCTGCCAGCCTTAGGCTTCCCTAAGAATGAGGGATTGAGGTGAGCAGGTGCCTATGAAGTAAAGGGGAGACGTGTTATCAGCTGATGCTGCTGGATCCATCTCAAGGGTCCCAAGGGTGTGAAAAGGCACAGAAAGTCCAGATGCCCCAGGCAGATAGAAAGTCAGCCCTTCTGGTCTGTGAACTTCTCTCCTGGGGGCTGGCACCTGGAGCTATGGACTCCAGGCACATTGGGTGTGTGTGTGTGTGTGTGCGGGGGGCTTCCAGCTACACAACTCAGATGCAGTTTTTCTGAGTTCTTTCATATTCTCTTTATTTATTTTTCCTTTTGGGTCACTTGGGAGTTGTGAAGTGTGGGGGACAGCGAGAGAAATCTGTGGGTTACACTGTCCCTTTTAGGAAAGAAGAAAGATTAGTGGCTGAATTAAAGGTCTTGTTGAAAATTACCTTGGGAAATGACATGTTTGTTAGAAAAGTAGATTAAGACTTTGTCTAAGAATGGTGACATACAGAAAGCATGGAGATTTTATTCCTTTGGCAGGAAGAATATGCCATTGGAGTTTGTGGATGCACAGGTTGGATGCTTCCCAGAGGAAGGGAAGGGGTAGGAAAATGCCTTAAGGGGACTCAGACCTTAATGGATGGGGCAAGACACCTCAGGATCCTGGGAGAAACAAAGAACACAAAGAGCTGCCAACTTATTTACTTTCTAGGTTGTGTGATGTGCTAAATGTAAACAAGTACGTTGCCTTGATGTGGGGCGGGGTGGTAGTCATGGGCAGCAGGTGGGACAAAGTGGATCCTATCCCAGAAATCCATCTGGAGGGATTTGCCCAAGTCAGAGCCCAGCAGGTTCCATGAGGTCCAGGCTCCTCTGGTATAGGAATATGCCTCCCCTTGGAATGGGGGCCTGGAGTGGAGGCATATTTCCAGGGGCCTGTGACAGGAAGGGGAAGGCCAAGGTTTCTTCTACCCCATCTACCTTTACATTGTAGAATATTTTCTCTCCTTACAAGTGTATTAGGAGAGGGAATAGTGGGGATAATGGGGATAGAGTGGTCACTGGGAAGTTTGCAGGGTTTATGGTAATAAATGAACATTAACATGCCTAGACCTGGGTGATGCTCAAAACACGTGAGAGTACATACAGAGTTCTCATTTAGGGTCTCCCATGAGATAGTCTCATGCCCATATGCACCCTGATACAGGAAAAATGTTACACATTTCCACACACATCTGCTTGATTAAACCACACACAGCACATATATAAGCATACTACTCCTTTATTACATGTTCACACAACCCAGGGATATAACACTGCTCTCTTTCTACACTAAACTCTGGAGAGAGAGAATGTATGTGTGTGTGTGCATGTGCATGCACGCACCTTCATATGTGTATGTGTGTGCATGCGCACCTTCGTATGCACAAGTACACATATCTCTTCAATTCTCAGACAAAGATAGCTACATTACAACTACCTCTAAATATTTCTATAAGAACCAGTCTCAGGTCATTCCACATCTGTAACACAACCTGTAGCCACACCAGGCCTACTTTGTTAAAACCAAAATTAAACAGATTCACTGACACACCTTTATTAGAGTTGCCAAAAAATAGAATGTCTAGTTAAACTTGAATTTCAGATAAAACTCCAATGACTTTTTAGTATGAGAAAGTCCCTAATATTCGATATGACCAATTTATACTAAAGAAAACTGTGATTCATCTTAAATTTAAATTTAACTGGGTATCAGGTATTTTTGTTTGACAGATCTGGTGGTCCTTACATTCTCACCATGATCTGTCCTATTATATACTTATATGTATTTCTGTTTAGTGCCTGCCTTTCCAATTGAAATAGAAGTTCCAATTAGAAGAGGGACTCTGTCTTATTCAGTATTCCCAAGCCTAGAATAGTGGAATAATGCCTGATACATAGTAGCTACTTACTAAATATTGTTCACTGAATAAATGAATAAATGAACATCACAAATAAGCCCCACTATATTGTCAGGAAATGTTAGGTATCACATTATTCCTGAATTGTGAACACAGCATGTATACAAACTCCACACTGGCCCCACCTAAAGCACATCATTCTTATACTTTACACATATTCACAGTAAATCACACAGGCATTCATTCCTAATAAGATATTAATAAAATAACTGTTGAGTAATTTAATACTGGAATATCCACAAGGAACCGTTCTCTAAACTGTGTGTATTTACCATATCTGACACATGTCAGACACTCGTAAATATTTGTTGGATAGGTGAATGATGTACAAATATGTCCAACCCCCCAAATCACTGTGACTTTCATACTTTTCTCAGGAATGTCAAAATCACAAGAGGATGCCCCTCATCTTGAATCCACTGGAGTGGCCAAGATGTGCAGCCTAGGAGGAGGGGAGGTCTCCTCTGCCTCAGAATACTTCTCCTGTGTTTCTTCTCCATACAAGCTCTTCCATGGTAGTAGAGGTACAGGGATGCTTGAGTGTGAGACTTGGGTGTATGAGACACTTTGGGTTCGGGCTCCTTAGATGTGAGAGTTTGGATGAAGGAGTCCTTGATTGTGAGACTGTTTGGATATGGAGACTTGTAGGTGTGAGGCTCCTTGAATGTGGAGCTCCCTGGGTATCAGACTTTGAGTACAGTGCAGGAAGCATAGAATTTAAAGCATGAGGCTGAGAAGCAGCCCAGGGCAGTTGGAGGTGGTCCGGACTCTGTGAAGAAGCCCAGGTAGAATTCAGAACTGTTAGGAGAGCTCACTGTGGGAGATCTTGAACCCTGGCATGATCATGGTGGGAAGTCAGAGAACAATGGCCTGAAAGGTTTGGGTTTGGGGTGTCAGGCTAAGGGACCAGATTAGGGACCTTAAGAGAAACTATGTGGGATTTGTGGCTTCTAGAGTACAGCGTTCCCCAGAATAGCTCAGTAGGACCACACAGCTCAGGCCTGTATACCTCACACATATAACCATACTCTGCATGGATGCATACATCCTTAGCACATGCACAAATCCAAAATGCATGACCTACAAGGCCATTTTCCTATATCACAGCCCACATTCCACAAACAACACAGCAGCAAAGTCACAAAATACCATCTTCCCAGTATGCAAACCCCACCTCTATTCCACACATGCCATAATCCTCACTCTCTCACTCAACACTCGTGTGTAGACATTCCCCAATATCTTTATACACACAAATGACACCACCCTCATCACCCCAGAATACGAACAATGGATAGCAAACCTATCACACACCTGGATCATACGGTGGACCCCCTCTCCTCTACCATGCATATTCACAGTTTTGCATTCTCGGTTTCCAGCAGGCTCTGTGCATGTTCTTATGTTTCTAATTTCCTTTCCCAGGAACCCGGAAATTACAAGACAGTCCCAAGCCTAGATCACCCCTAACCCAGTTTCAAAAACGAGGGGAGACTCTTCCCCACTCCCAGAATAACTCCTTCTCAACCCATTCATCTTATAAGACCTGTGTGTCCTCTCTGTGTATGAACAAAGAGGAAAAGGGCATGAAAATATACTACATGCAGGTAAAAATGAAAAAAGGTGTAGCTGTCTCCTGGGAGACAGAGGAAACCTCAGAGTCCCTAGAAAAGCAGCCAAGGATGGAAGAAGTAAGCCTTCCTGAGAAAGTGCGAGTAGGTACTCCCCCCTCTGATGTATCCACCAGAAACCTCCTGTCTGACAGCGAGCCCAACGGGGAGGAGAAAGAACATGAGGAAAGGGCAGAGGCAGATAGCCCGCCAGGATCACCTGCAGTGGAGGAGAGACCCAGGGCCAAGACACCTGACTGGCTGGTGACCATGGAGAATGGTTTCAGATGCATGGCCTGCTGCCGGGTCTTTGCCACCATGGATATCCTCCAGGAGCATGTGAAGCATGGGATCAGGGAGGGCTTCAGCTGCCACGTCTTCCATCTCACCATGACTCAGCTGATAAGCAATGTAGAACCAGAGAGCGCCCAAGAAGAGGAGGAGGAGGAGGAGGAGGAGGAAGAGGAGGAGGAGGAGGAACAAGAGAAGCCAGAAGACAAGGAGAATAAGGAGGACCAGCCCACAAGGGAAGACCCTGGCCTGAAGAGACCCTGGAGCCAATGTCCAGGCTGTGTGTTTCATTCTCCAAAGGATAGGAAGTGAGCAGGGGCTGGGTCTGCTAAGGGAGCTGTGCTTTCTCTGTCTCTCCAGTTCAACCCCACGAGGGAGAGGTGGGGGTGGAGGTTCATCCAGATTGGGGAATAATGGAAGGGGCCATAACTGGGCCCCCTGCTTCCTGCCCAGACATCTCACCGGCCTATAAGTTGGGATTTGTCTTGAGCTTTCCAGTTCCCGCAGGAAATTCAGGGGATTTCTAAGGGCGAGCCGAGCTCCTTCCCTCATTAACTAAGTGTCTTCCTCTATTTTGATTTCCACATAGCAACTGAGATTCATGAGCCAGAAGATCTTTGAAGATGGTTCAGCCTTCTCTTGGGAGAGGTAAGGCCTGAGGCTTGCACAGTTTTCCAAGCCTACCTTAGGAAGACTCGCAGGGAGAGAAAGAAGGGGCTGCAGGGATGCGCTGGGCTCTGTCATGGCTCTGCAGATCCGTCAGCTTGTGGTACACTCAGTGCTTCTCGGGGGATTTGACCTCCTTTTGGTTAAATGAGAAGTTGGAGAGTTCTGACTGGGAAGTTTCCCACTATATCCATGACTGTCCTCAACTTTAAGAAGAAATACTAGAGTCCCTCTAGGCAGGTAGAGCTCAGCATGATCTCAAGGGCCAAGACTGGTTTGGAGAGAGGACCAGTGCTCAGCAGGATCAAAGGTATGGGGTCTGTGAGTCTTTGGTCTGAGCTTTGATTTCACTCTGGCCCATGAACATGGCCCTGTGACGGAAAGGGAAACGTGGAAAGGGAACAATGTAGAAGTGATTTCCCCCCAACCCGGAAAAGTTCTAGAACCTTTATTTTGCTGTAATTTAATTGAACTGAACTGAACTGGTGTGGATGGCCCCAGGCTTTGAGATTACAGTGAAGGGTTATTGATGGGCAGAGCTCATGTCACTTCTTGTCCCTTCCTGCTCTGCCTCATTTATTTTCTCACTCCCAGGGAGAAGAGATAATAGCAGATAGAATGCCAATAGAATAAAAGAGGATGAAGGGACCACACCGCTCAGTCTAACATATAAACATCATATACAATAAAGATTGTTTTCAAAACCTTGCCTGTCTGCATTATTTAATTAACAAATTTATCTACCTATCTATCCTTTTGTCTCTAGTGTGGTTTGTGAGTGACGTTTCACATCAGTACTAGTGATATCTACCAGCATTTTCCAGAGACAGCACTAATTACCTGGGATTTATTAGGCTTCTCTGACCATTTTTCCAAGACTGGCTGCTACATTTCATATGGGATCATGACGAACTCCACTGAGCTCACATAAAGTCACTAGGAAATACTGGGCACAATGGAAATGGCGGAGTGAGGCTGAAGGCATTGAGCAGAGGCCTGGAGAGGGTTCTGCATGTCCCTCAAGGTTTTCTCAGAAGATAGGCTTTTGGTTTTTGGCTTTACTAGGATACACCAGGACAGAGGAAATTTCTGTCTTGGAGCTGTTCATGGAGCAGGTTACTCCTGGGACGATGAGTCTCCTTTATAGCACTTGCAAAGAGGCCAGATTTGGGGGAAGAAATTGCTACATTAGGAGTTTAAGCCAATCAGTTCTGATATTTCCAGTTCTGAGGTCAATATTTCAGATTTTAAATGCAGTCTTATCTGGATTCCCAAGGTTTGATCTCATCATCTCTGAACCTTATCCTCACATCACTGCTAACCACCCACTAGAAAAACAAGTGTCTGAGGCACTGAAGACTGATTTTGACGCATGAGGTTGTGGGTCGTCTTTCCAAAGTGAGGGTGGAGTAACATCTCCCTCATCTGAATGGAGACAAAGCCACGCCTTAGAGGACTGGCAGAGTTAGAAGGAAATAATTTGAAATTCAGAGATTTTGTCAGTTTAAATTGAATAATAGCCAACTCCAAAATCCCACAGGTTCTTTGAGAGCCTATAAGGGATCTTCTACGGGGATTTATTTAATCAATAAAGTATGTTATTATTTCCATAAGAATAATCTTGTTTCCTAACCACTTCCATGCTCTCATCCTCTGCATCTGGGATATAATATCCACATCCCCCGAGCCTACTTTGTCATTTCAAAGAATTCAGATTTTGAGAATTAACTCACCCTCGATTACCCACACCACCCTGTGGGGAATTCTCTAGCAGCCGCTGCACACTCTAATTTTCACTCTTTTCCCATTTCACCTGCTGTTGAACCCACCAAGATTGGAAATGCTATCTAATTCCTCTTTTCCTTGGTCTATATCAATTTCTCTCCTTTCCTCGGAATGTACTCCATCTTCCAATGACTGCTTTAAACACCCAGGATTTACTTCCCATAAATTGTCAGGATATTGGTTATAAACATGAAACTGTCAATTGCTGCTCTTGCTGTGATGGACATTGGCCAGCAAGCACAGAGGTGGACAATACAAGAGCCAATGGGTTAGGAGTCCGAGTATTTCAGGAAGCAGCTCTTGATGTGCTATCATATTCTAATAAGAACTGCATTGACAAGCCCATGTCCCCTACTGTGAGGTAGGGACCTGTGACTTGCATTCTCTTCTGACCAAGACAAGTGCTCACATTAATCATACCAGACCCTGTCTATGGCATCATGGGTAGAACAAATTCTGAATGAGTCTCTGAATCCCTGCTCAGAGTAAGTTTAAAGCCATACCTGAGCTCATATTTTAAGCTATTGGTAGGATTGCAGGTAGAGTCAAGATAATTAAACTTCCCTCCCTGCAATCTACTTAATTAACTGTGGCAAATGAAAATAGGTAGGGATGTCTTACCAAAAGGGAATGGCTATCACCCATGACACACAGGCCACCTGGGAGTAAAACCAAGTGTGACTGTCTTTGACAAACACTTTTAGAGGCAGGGAGTCATCTGTCCCTAGTGATCCCACTGAGGATCTCCCTGTTTCTGTGTACACAGTCTTTGAACTTTCAGAGAGGCTCCCTTCTTTGCATGTCCCATGTGGGGCATGGATTGTTAGGTGGGAACCTGTGATGCTAGCAGGGGAAAGAACCTATATTCTGTCTGTTCTGCCTTCTCTTTCCTTCCTCTGTAAGTCCTTTTTATGTTTTTTTGAGGCTGGTATCTTCTATTTCCTAATTTACCAATTTATTCTAATTTACACTTCAAACACTGTCTGCTTCTTTCCCATGCATGTAGACACAGTTTCTCGTTTTATCAGAACATTTGACTGAAACTCTCAGGAGGTAAAAGTAATTGCATTTTATCTTCTAATTTCATCAAAAATAGGATTAAAATATTTAGATATCAGGGGAGGCTCCTGCCATGGCTCTGAGGGAAAG